AACAAGTTTCTTGTAAAACAACATCGTAATTAAATACTTAATTACCTAGGCATTCTTTGGTTGCAATTAGGTCCAAAATGATTATACACAACAGTAACTTTCATGTTTTTGTCTCTCACATATCCATCATCATGACCAAGAAGCATAACCTTATCTTGTTCTCTAAACCAATTGTTGGATATAGTCACATTACTAGAACCCCGAGTTACATCAAGAAGACCATCTTCACAATCATTAAGTGTATTATGATCAATCCAAATTTTTGAAGCAGTGACCAATCTTATTGCATCTCCATCTACTGGACCTAAATGAATTACCTTTCCATTAGGCCCCATCACCATCCCCGAAGTTGAGCTTTACAGTGATGAATTCGAATGCTATGTATGATTATGTTGGTGGTCTAAAAGTTAAAAAGAAATTGTTATTAATGTAGGACACAAATTGATACTATAAATCTAAAATTGGAAAGGAAAATTTAAAAGGAGAATCGTGAAATTAATCTCTAAATTTTGTGTACAAAGAATTAAAGGGAATTTTTTCTATCATTATTTATAGTCCTGGATTATAAATATTTTTCTAGTTATAGTTAAGTATTTGGTTATTACCTTGAATATCATCAAACATGCATTATTAGCAACATGGACATTGACACCGCGACCATCAATGGTAGTGAAACTACTAACGAGAAGTGGTTTGATAAGTTTAATTGTCATGTCTTTTTGAAATGTGATCCATACTTTACCTTGAATTACAGAGGCTCCGTATCTCAATGTACCTATTTTAGGGTTTATAGGATCATCATTTGGGTCAGTAACTTCATATTGTATGAGGTCTTTACCAATGTTGTTTGTCATCTTTCCAACATAACCTATAGAACAAGTCGCTATTTGTTGTCTTTGTCTCCCCCATTCAGGATTTAGCCTCCAACAACGATCAATCATGTTCATATTCATACCAATTAATTTGGATTTTTTGGCAGAACTAAGTTTTGGAATGAAAAATATAACAACCACAATGGTCAAAACAAAACGCCATATGACATAATTGGTACCTTGAGATATCATGATATGGTATAATTATTCTTGAAAATTTTAAATTAAAGAAGAAAAATTGAGATATAATAAACTTAAATGATTCTTGGTTTATATTGGAGAAGAAATACTATTAAAATGTGATTATATAGATCAAAGTAATCTTCAAGTTGGTTAAATTTGTTTTTAAAAACTATGATTAAATTAGTGATCCGTACTAAAGAAAAATTATAAATAACAATAAATAGAAAAATATAGGTAAAACAAAATCTTAACCTCGTACTATTGTAATTTTTTGTTACATTAACCTAATTAACTTAATATTTTGATACTTATCTAAGTTTAGATAATAACTAAAAGTAAAATTAGTACATCTATCATGCCAGAACATACTACAACCATGTTTTCTAGTAAAAAATAACAACAACATTTTCCTTATTTGGAGTTTAACCTAAATATATTAAAAATATTTTTAAAATGTTTAATATTTTGCATGGTTATATTGTATTTAGGTGATACAAAATTTATGTTTTATTTGATGAATTTAAAATAATTGGATAAATACAAATTATAAGATAAGATTGATGTATCTTGTAGAATTTGAGAGACAATCATTGAAAGAGTGAGTATGGAGAATTACTATCTTCATTGTTGTTTAGGATTTTTAGAGTATATAATTATCTAATAGGGAGACACTTAAATAGCTAAACAGTTAAGGACATAGTCCTCTCACTGGGTTTAATTGAATGGTCAAACTCATCACGGTCCATTCTGACATAAAACCTAATTAAATAATTCATCAATAATTAGTGTTTAATAACAATTGACCATACTATAATTAATTAATAATTGATTATGTTAATCTATATTATATTAATTAACTAGTTAATCTAACAATCTCCTACTTGGATGAAAATAATTAATTATTAAAACTTTTAATTTAATATTATATTACTAATTATGGTCATAACACTAATCAATTAAAAGAGAAGTAAGTTGCATATGTATAAGCCTTTAGTTGTTGATTATACTATTGAGTTTTCAAATTAAATGTCATATAATATCCACATAGGTATAAGAATAATAATTGCATATAGACATATGCTATTACGAGGATAATTACATTTAATCATAAGTACCTTCATAACACAATATCATACTCGATATGAGTATTAATATTTACTTGTATTTTCATATTATGACCTAACAAATGCAGACTATTGAAGATAGAATAACACAATATTATTGCATGCTAAAGAATTATTGTGTCTTTTCAATATCGACCTAAACATCAAAATATGATATTTTTTGAGATTAAGAGAATAATATATAGCCCAGTATAATAGAATAAGATTTCTTAGAGTTATTTAGTATTTTGAAGTCTTTTTAGAATATGTCATATTTTATGGTACACACAAAAATGTATGACATTATAAGAATAATAATCTAAAATTTTCAAATTATATGATTGTGTACACGTACACTCTCATTAATCCAATAAGATAAAGATTTATCAGAGTCCACTAATATTAAATTATCTAATTATACAATGAGATAGGAAATGTCATGAGATTCATAATCGATAGGAGTATTGTCGCTACGTGAAAAATGACACAGAGTCGCCACCGAATTTTATTTATCCCAAGAAGGGAAAGGGAGATGACGGTAAAACCTTTGGGAAAAGAGCATGGTCATCGCAACCAAGTTTTAGGATTCGGGAGTCGGTTATGCGAGGGGAAGGTGTTAGCACCCCCTCACATCCATCGTACTCGATGGAAACCTTCTAGGTCGTTTAGTTTGAATGAGTGTTTTAATCTAAAAGTTTGCTTGCTAAAGGGAAAAAGGGGTTGGTTTATATTAGAGTGCTCGCCAAGGATTGTGGCCCTTGTGCCTACGTATCCTCACCTAAACGAAGTAAAGAATCAGAGCTCCGTAGTTTGGAGGCTTGTGAAATGATTGTATGTTGGTTGATTTTATACCTTGAAAAAGGGCTTTCGGATTGATGCACTAAGGCGAAAAGAAGTTTGATGAGTTGATGTTATTTTTTTGGTTTTTAAGAAGAAATTATTTTTGATTAGGATCACACTAAAGACTTTGGATAGGGATGAATGTTTCGAATAACCAAGTCGAGCGCCTTGTATTCAAAATATTCGGAACGAGTGTAGGAGGGGCTCCATTCTCATTCCTTCTCCACCACTTTAAGCTCATGGCGTATAACCCTAATTGTATCTTTATTGTTTTTTTTTGGATTTTTTTATGAGAAAAATACCACTTGATGTTGGATCAAGGGTTTTATTGCTTGTAAAAATATTTGAAGTGATGCGAACAAGGTCGATGGCGACGCACAAGACGGCCGACTTACAAGGATGAAAATGGCTCGATAAAATTGAGAGTCTATTTTTGAAAATAGTTTTTGGAACCAAAAGTCACGAATGACTGTAAGCATCCACATACAATGGTCATACAATCAAATCGGGTTAGTCGGTTTTGAAAATAAGGAGCATAAAAAAAACGGGTGAACTCCTTGAAATTTTTTTTTTGAAGGTGAAATAGCAAAAAAGTAAAAAAAAAAAAAAAAACACAGGGGCCTGACACCGCCTGTGTCAGGAAGTGCCCACAACATGGGTTTTGGAGGTAAACAGGGAGCTGACACGGCCCGTGTCAGCACTCCTGGGTGGGGCGCGCAAAGGAAAATTTAAACAGCAGGCTGACACGGCCCGTGTTAGTCCTGCTGGGTGAAAAATCTAAACTATTTCTTTCGTTCTTTTCCTTTCTCGTGGTTCTTACAAAGGTTCCTTAGTCCCTCTTAGGACCTTACACAATGTATACAGCACAAAAACATTTAAAGGAGAAAATAAAAGACAGATGTAAAATATAAAGAGAGAAGAGTTTGAAAAAAGGGATACCCAAGAGTTGTTATCTTTCTTGCAAAACTTCCACTGATTTTGGTTGGGTGTCCTCTTCATTTTCCACTCTATGCTTTAAAGGTTCTGTCTTTCAAGGGTTTCTCTCTTGTTCACCTTTTTCCTTTCCTCTTTTTTTATTTATTTATTTTTCTATGGTTCTCTTGTGTTTCTATGTGACTCTCTTAGTTTTTTCTGGTTTTTTCTCTCTATCTCTAGCTCTCAATATCTCTCTATTTCAATGTCTACTGAATGCCTCTGCTGCCCCCTTCCTTATAGTAAAACATTAGGGTTTGCTACAACATCTTTTCATTAGGATATACTTCTCTTCACTTTTTGTATGTCAAGCCCAATTCTTTCCATTTCCATGAATTCTCTTTGTTGTCTTTTTCTGCTGCCTTTTATCTTATTTCCAAATCTGAACTTATTTGTTTGCTTGTGTTTAGACTACCCTTGTGGTCCAAATTTCTACCTTTGACAGCAAAAAAAATATGATATTTAGATACCTTATCATGAGTTTATTCCCTTGGTCTTGTGATATGCATTGGTTTTGTAACATGAGGAAATTTGTCACTTCTTGCATGAGACTGTTTTGGATCACATTCAAATTGCCCATGATTAAGCATGCTTAGTCTTGATCTTGAAATATTCCAATGTTGAGTTAACCCTTAAGTATTTTCCTTGGATGTTTGTAAGCATAATGAGGAACATGTGGACTTGATGGGGGATGAAGGGTACCATAGCATGAATTTGATTAGAAGCTTGAATGAAGATTAGAAATAGATTAATTTCTAAACATTACCTAGAGTTGGAAACTTTGTAACAAATGACATTCTTGTAATGTCATGAAATTTCCCTTTGTAAAATTCTAGTCTTGAATTCATGAATCTTGAACTTTAAATGATGGATTTCCCTTATACCATTATTTGAAATGGATGAAGTCTTGAATTATGAACTTGTGATCTTGACTCATGCTTTGCAAATATGAAATTTACTTGATCAAGAATTCGAAACAAAGTTGGACGAAGTAATCTTGAATTAGGCCTTGCATTTCATGTTCATTAGGAAAATCTCTGAAGCTAAGAGGGTGGAAGAAATAATTGTACCATGAATCTCATGACATTCAACATCTGTGGGTGTGGCTCTTCCATTAAGCTAAAAAGAGTATGTAAAATGCTACATAAGGGTAATGCAAATTTCAGCTTGTTACAAGAAACAAAAATTAAAGATATGGATGAAGATTTAGTGAGGGGATTTTAGGGCAATGCGGATTTCGACTGGTCTGCATCATCTACGATTGGGCAATTTGGGGGATACTTTTGATGTGGAGAAAGAGTGTCTTTTGCGCTTCTTGTAGTTTCTCAAGGAAAGGGTTTTAGGCATTTGCGGGATTGGAGAGGAACTATTTGTTTTGTGGCCAATGTATACTCAACATGTAATTTAGGGGGAAAATGTAAGTTGTGGGCTGATTTGATTGCATTGAAACAAAAATTTCCCACAAATGAATGGTTGGTTGCTGGGGATTTTAATGCAATCAAGTCTTTTGAGGAGCACAAGGGAAAGGGTAAGGCGTCTTTCACTGAGATGGACGATTTTTCTTACTTCATTGACGAATTAGAGCTTGTAGATATACATGTCGTAGGAAATCGTTTTACCTGGTTCAACTCTGGTGGAACATGCAAAAGAAGGCTTTATTGAATTCTTCTATCTGAGGCTTTGATTAGAAAGTGGAATGTGGTGGCTTAACATGTAGGGAACATGGACTTTTCTGATCATAACTTATTTGGCTTTTCTCGAACAATGTGGATTGGGGGCCCAAACCATTTAATTCGTTTAATTGTTGGTTCAAACATTAACAAATTCTTAGCTTTGTAGGGGTTTCTTGGAATTCTTTTCATGTAAATGGTACTGCTAGCCATATTCTTGTGACTAAACTAAAAGGCCTCAAAGAAAAATTAAGGTGGTGGAATAAACACGTCTTTGGGTGGGTGGACTTGGAGATTGATGTTAGTGTGAATTTGCTTAATGACATCGAGGAAAAGATGGAAGTTGGTGCAGGTGCTTTGTCTAAGGAAAAACTGAGGAAAAGAAGCGAGGCACAAGCGGGAATTTGGAACAAATTACTTCTTA